GCAACGGTTGGGGAAAATCTTGATCTTGATTTATCCTTCAGGATTCGCATATTATATTTTTTTCGTATTTTTAGTGCAAAGCAGTAGTATTTTTATAAATTGTAATCTTAGAATATTTTTYGATAAGGTTTTTACGCTGTACGTACTCTCGTAGTCTGTAATCCAGACTGCCCGGTGGTTGAAGCTGCTGAATTTTTATGACGCTGGAAACGATTGCTTATAAATGTATTACTCTTTTTGTCACGCAAKGACACATCGTATTTTCAAAATAAAATGATTCACTGAAACTAACATTGTAGTTTATGAAGTCGAAGTCAAATTAGAARAAAACAAGATCCGTGCAGAATCCATTTCAGTCTAGAGGTTACTCCGTAGTTTTTTTYCTCTCTGTAAGGTCGCCGCGAAGCAACGACAACGAGCTGCGAAGCTAGCCGCGAGCCACGAGAAACAGGTATTTCTCAAAAATGACATTCAAAATATTGTATGGAGTTTCGTCTGAAAATATACAACACGGATTCCATCCTTCTAACCGAAACGATACAAAAATCGTCCTTGTTTTCCAGTCGCTAACAAATCTGAGGTCCACATTCTTCAATCAAACTGGAGTTTAGAAGTTGGTTAGTACGGAGGGAGAGAAACCTAAGAACCCAGAGAAAACCCTGCAAGAACAGAACGAACAGTAAACTAGGTAAAGAATGTTGATTTTTGTGAAAGAAGCGAGCAAATTTTCTCTGCACTTTCATCTCGATTCCGCACGAGATAAAACATAGAATCCATGAATCAAGTAAAGCTAAAGAATGATTTAACGATCAAAATTCCTTCAAACGTTAATTTGGAAAATTTTCACTTGTCTCAAAAACGTGGTCACATAAATTTTTATTTCCTCTGTTCRAGACATAAGATGGATCGCGAGGACTAAAATAGCGTACCAAGTTAGAGCTAGTATTGTTATTAAAATTTCAATTCAATTCGCGCGTTCATGCACTGGGTAGGCCCAGGCACGCACATGCAGGCAGGGTGAATAGACCTTATCCGTGGTGTGACAATGTTTTCCCAATTCAGCGTGACAAACCTCCAAAGGATTCATTTTCTTTTGTTTTTATTCTTCGAAAAATTCATGAGTATCCCAAAGGATACGAAAGGAATAACGATGATATCCCGACGAGTTGCAAAACAATAGCTCTTTATTCCCCCAGAGGTTTGTCACGTTGAATTGGGAAAACATTGTCACACCAAGAATAAG